TTGGTTTAAAACCCTTTAAAAAAATAAAAGAACACTAACTTGAACAAGTAGGTAGCCCAAACATGTAAATTGGTCAATAAAATTGCATGGATATACTCTGTCTACTGACTATAAGCGGACCAGCCTTTTCTGTCTTTTCTGTTTTCTGTATCTGTTGTGGGGTGGCTCCCCCACCTGGTTCAGAGATCGTGATGGTTTGGGGTCAGAGGTCCTGGGTCAGAGCATCTCCGTCTGATGGCAGCCTCTGCTCAGGCCATCAAGGAGCCCAAATGGGCAAGCCTCACCATCTGTGAAGCCAATCAGAGCCAAGACGACACACTCGACATCCAGAGTTCCACACCCAGACAGACCCGCCCCTCACCCATTTCCCCACCACCACACCCGGCCAAACCCCCGTGGCCCCGCCAGCTGGTCACATGGCGATGTTTCAGAGCAGCACGAGCTCAGTGCCATCCAGGAGTGGAGACTCCACCAACGCCAGCCTGATCACAGGTCTTCATTAGCCAGCCAGCCACACCCACAGGGGGCACCATACACCACACAACCTACACCAAACTGGCAGTGGTCAGCTCTGGAAAACCACTTTTATAAAAAGCCTTCATAAACAAGCGGTATCTCTAACGCTACTGTGTCCCAGGTCCAGAAGGAGTGTGAGCTGTCGCGTATTGAAAGGGCCTTCCCAGAAGAACAGACCACTGCGGCCCACTCTGGGGAGAGGTCACCTCCAGCACCTTGTGTCCAGTGCAGGGAAAAACCCCAGCTGGGACTGGGATTTAGACAGTAACTGGGTCTGGTAGATCCGCAAGCTGTCCTGGAGAGAGAGACACGGGTGGAGGCTGATGCCTCTCTAACCTGGTAAGGAAGGAGGAATGGATGAAGGGGAATATGGGATATCTTAGCCAGGGGGGTTACCACAGGAGTATAGGAGGGGGATCCATTCCTTAGATTTAGACTGGGGTCATGCACCTCTCACCCTTTTTCAGTCATCTAACCCAACTATAATTTTTTCCTAACCCCCCCCCCGGGGCCCCAACATTCTTATAAACCCTGTGATTTGGTGAGGTGTCCCGGGCAAATCCCTACAGAGGTTTTAAACCTTTAAAAAAACCCATTTTTAAATGTTGGGTTTTTTACGGGTTTTAAATTTGACTCCCTGTGGGGTTTCCCACCGTATTGTGAATAATTTTGAGAATTTTCCCAAATCTGGGGTTTTTGTGGTCGGGTCCTACAAAACCCATGTAGGGCTTAAAAATTTTTTTTTTTGTATTTTTGTGGGGCTTGTTTTTCGGGACTGTTCGGTCTGGTTTTTCGTTTTTTTTTCTGAGAAATGATGAAAATCAATATTGCCCTGCCTAAGTATTTTTTTGAAATATATTTCATGATGGTTTTCTCCCACTTGAACTGAGCTCAATTTTTTTGCCCCTTGTGTTTCTCTGTGTCCGGTGTGTCTCTGTGCCCTGTGTGTGCCCCTTTTTTGTGTGTTTTTTGGTTTTCCGTTTTGTGTGTGTGTTTTTTGTGTCCGTTTTGTTTTTTTTTGGGTGTCCGGGGGGGGGTGTGTCTTTGTGTCCGTTGGGGTCTCTTGTTTTTTTTGGGTGTCCGTGTGTGTCTCTGTGGGGTGGTTTTTTTTTTTTTTGGGGCCCGGGAGTAAATCAATTACCCCTTTAAGTTATGTAAAAACAAAATATCATGAGGATTTTTTTCACTTAAACTGAGCTTTTTCCCACAGTATTTTTTAAAACCGTGCATTTAAAAAGTATTCGCCCCCCTTTAAACCTTTTTTTGGGTTACGTTAAAAAAAGCCCCTTTTTTCAAAATTGATTTTCTTTTTTTTTTCCCCCCCTCAATCTACACACAAAACCCCATAATGAAAAAGAAAAACCCAAGGTTTTAGAATTTTTTGAAAATGTTTAAAAAATAAAAACGAAATCATTTTTGTAAGTTTCAAAAACCCTTTTTACCCCATTACTTTTTTTGAAGCCCCTTTTGGCGCGTTTCCCGCCTTGGCCCTTTTTGGGGTTGCCCCTACAAGTTTGGCACACCTTTTTGAAGAGTTTCTCCCCATTTTTCCTGCAGATCCTCTCAAGCGCTGCCCGGGGTTGGAGGGGGAGCCCGCCGGGCCCCTATTTTCAGGTCTCCGAATTTTTCCAAAATCGGGTTAAATAGGGGCCACTAAAGGGACATTAAAGAGACTTGCCCCGAAGCCACCCTGCTTGTCTTGGTTTGGGGTTTGGGGGTTCGTTGTCCTGTCTGGGGTCCTGAAAGGGGTTTTTGGAGCAGGTTTTCATCAAGGTCTCTCTGTACTTTTTTTCCCTTTAAACTTTCCGTCGATCCTGACTAGTCCCCCAGTCCCTGCCCCCTGAAAACCTCCCCACAGCAAAATGCTCCACCCCCCATGTTTCAAAAGTAGGGAAAGGGGCCCGGGTTTTCCTCCAGATGTGACGCTTGGGGGATTTAGGGGCCCAAAAAAGTTCCAAACTTGTTTACATCAGAACCCGGGACTTGTAAAAAAAAGTTTTAAAAAAGGGGCAAGTCTTTGGGGGTCTTTTGGCAAACTCCAAGCGGCGTCAAAGTGCCTTTTTTTTTTGATTGGGGGGAGTGCTCCGAGATGGGTTTTCCCTTTTGCCCGGGTTTCCAATGGGCCACAAAGGGGCCCTGTCAGTGACCATCGGGTTCTTGGTCCCCCCCCCTGACCCCAAAGGGCCCCTTTTCCCCCCCATTGCTCAGTTTGGCCGGGGCGGGAGCCTAGAAAAAGTCTTGGTGGTTTCCCAAAATTCGTCCATTTTTTGAAAGGAACTTTTCTGGTACCCTTCCCCGATCTTGGGGCCCCGACACAATCCGTCTCGGAGCTCATGGGTTGGTTTTTTTCTCTGACCTGCACTGTCACTGTGGGCCTTATATAGAAAAAGGGGTGTGTTCCCCAATCATGTCCAAACAATTGAATTTACCACAGGGGGAAATCCAATCAAATTTAAAAACAACCCCAAGTATGATCAATGGGAACAGGATGCACCTGAGCTCAATTTCTAGTCTCATAGCAAAGGTTATGAATACTCAAGTAAATAAGATATTTATATTATTTATTTTATATAAATTTGCAAACATTTATAAAAACCTGTTTTCGCTTTGTCATTATGGAGTATTGTGTGTAGATTGATGAGGGAAAACATTTTATTTAATCCATTTTAGAAATAGGCTGTAACCAAATGTGGAAAAAGTCAAGGGGTCTGAATACTTTCCGATGCACTGTATATACAGTCGCTACGCTATCAAACCCTTCCTGTCTAACCCAGGTGTCTTCCCCTGTGTTGTGTCCCCTGTCATCTGTTTTGTCCAGTTGGAGAGCCTGTCCTTCCAGTCAATCTATAGACCCTCAGAACCTGACTACCTGTCCTCCACCACCACTCTCTCTGGCAGCTCACGCCACCACTGACCCTGAACACAACTCCACAATTGACTATCTTTCCAGTTCAGTCATGTCAGAAATTATACTTGATAAATGGTAGTTACATTTAAAATGATGGAGATATCTAATCCTCTTTACTATTTTTTTTTCCCCCCTATAAGACTCATCCCTGCTCCTGGCTGGGTTTGGAATAGGAGGAGGCGGAGGAAGAGGGAAATAATCTTCGATCAATGGCTCCTTTTCGTCCAGACACAGTTCCTGTAGGGACGTATCTGGTCCACGGTTCTCCCATCTCAGAATCACTCCTACACAGCACAGTATCCAGCGCATCATAGACAATACCCAGGGAGCTCAACCTCTCTCTCAGTACTGCTGGGAACCAGACGGGTACACACACACACAATTTGAATCTTTCTTTTGATTACAGTATCCTACAGTAGTGACTTTCCAAACAGCAGCCTCTTACAATTCCCCTTCTTTCCTCCTCCCATCCAGGTCCCTCTGCAGTGATCTAGGGGTCATGTGTGAGGAGCCCAGCTCCTCTGTGTCCCAGCAGGAAGCAGCAGCAGAAGCCCGGTCTAAGCTACTGCAGGAGAATGAGGGACCGGACAGTCACCTGTTTGGGGGGCCGACCCCACACACTCCCCTTGGACACAGAGTCCGGAGCTCAGAGGCACAACCAGTGGGTTCATCCACACCCCACACTCCATTCAATGGCATTATGGGTTTCAGAGTAAATACTCTGATTTTATTTTTAGTATCAACATTGACTAATACAAGGTATCAAAAAAAAAAAAGTATTGTTCAGGAATGGGAAAAACGCTGTCAATCGGATCATGGATCGCCTCATTGGCTCTGGACCAGGGGCAGGACTCCACTATCAGCCCAATGATTGGCCAATCCTCGGATAAGCCCATCCTCACCAGGCCAAGGGTGGGACTCTACTTTGAGCCAAATGATTGGCCAGCTCTCAGGTCAATCACCTCACTGGACCAAGGGTGGAATTCGACTTTGAGCAGAATGATTGGCGGGCTCTCCAATCAGTCAACCTCTGTGAGCCAGCTGATTGGTCAGATGGCGGCTGGACCAGTCTCCCACTGGCTGGATGAAGGCCAGGATGAGAGCCGGATGATGGGGCCTCTGGTTGGAGATCTGGATGAGTCCTCTGCCCAATGGAGTGGGAGCTCAGGTAACAGAGTCAATGAATATGGATGGAATTTTACTGTGTGTTTGTATTGCATGTCTTATTTCAGTGTGCAAGAGCATATTTCTTGCTAATGCTCTACTGAACCCCCTACCACCCCCTACATTAGGAGCTGATGGGTCTAACCTCAGCCACACTTACCAGAGCCTGCAGTACTCTGGCAACCAGCTCCCGGAAGCAGACAGGGCTGGGGGTGAGTCTATTAGGGATGTTTTTCTAACGATGAATCAAGGATTTCCTGATATTCTTTTTGACTATATCCTCCATTTTCCTGCAGCATTCACCCTGACCCCCTGCTAACTACAATTCCCCTTTCCCTCATTTGTTTGTGACGGTATGGATGAGGTACTAGCTTCTGACTGTTAATAATCTTTTCACTCTGTTCTGTCTCTCATGGATCCTGCCTCTGACTCCTTCCCCCCCCCCCTGGCTGAGGTCAAAGCACAACGAGACAGCCGACACACTATGACCTTTCACCTTCCAGAAGAGGAAGAAAGTGACCATGAAGACCTGCAGGGGACCTTGAGCTCTCTGCATGCTCAGAGGGGTTTGAGGATGACACAGACCCCTCCGTCGCCCCTGAGCGCCGGAGGGGAGAGCCACCTCAGCCCCTCGCCCGCCCTCCGGACTCCTTGTACCAGTTGACCACGTCCCAGAGCCTCCCCCATAACTCTGCCTGGGAGGTATCCCCAGGAGCGGAGGAGGTGGTTCTGGCAGCATGTTCCCTCTCAGGCCTCTTTCTGTGAAGATGTCCCCACTTTGGACATGCCACTTGAAGGAGGGGACACTGATATGGAGAGTAACACCAGCACCTCAGAGAGTTGACCAAGGAGGTGCTATTACCATTGAGGACCTAGTGCAGGAGAGCTGGATGCCCAGCTATGTTCAGAGTCCAAAGTTCAGCCCTCCCATCTGGGAGAGAATAAGGGTATGTATTCATTACATTTCTTTCACTATTCAAATGAAAAATACCCCCAAAGCATAATGTTTCCACCTCCATGTTTGATGGTGGGGATGGTGTTCTTGGGGTCATAGGCAGCATTCCTCCTCCTCCAAACACGGCGAGTTGAGTTGATGCCAAAGAGCTCGATTTTGGTCTCATCTGACCACAACACTTTTACCCAGTTCTCCTCTGAATCATTCAGATGTTCATTGGCAAACTTCAGACGGACATGTATATGTCTTTCTTGAGCAGGGGGACCTTGCGGGCCGCTGCAGGATTTCAGTCCTTCACGGCGTAGTGTGTTACCAATTGTTTTCTTGGTGACTATGGTCCCAGCTGCCTTGAGATCATTGACAAGATCCTCCCGTGTAGTTCTGGGCTGATTCCTCACCGTTCTCATGATCATTGCAACTCCACGAGGTGAGATCTTGCATGGAGCCCCAGGCGAGGGAGATTTACAGTTCTTTTGTGTTTCTTCCATTTGCGAATAATCGCACCAACTGTTGTCACCTTCTCACCAAGCTGCTTGGCGATGGTCTTGTAGCCCATTCCAGCCTTGTGTAGGTCTACAATCTTGTCCCTGACATCCTTGGAGAGCTCTTTGGTCTTGGCCATGGTGGAGAGTTTGGAATCTGATTGATTGATTCCTTCTGTGGACAGGTGTCTTTTATACAGGTAACAAATTGAGATGAGGAGCACTGAATATTCAACCAGTCAGCTGATATTGAGAAGTTTTTCCAACACTTTTGATAAACAGGGCAAAATAGAAATTGGCCTATATTAGTTAGGATCAGCTTGATACCCCCCTTTAAATAAACGACGCACCGTGGCTGCCTTCCAAGCAATGGGAACCTCCCCAGAGAGGAGAGACAGGTTAAAAGTCAGAGACAGGCTTGGTGAGATGGGGGCTACAGCCTTAATGAAGAAAGCGTCTAAACCATCTGACCCAGATGTTTTTTGGGGTCAAGTTTAAGGAGCTCCTTTAGCACCTCAGACTCAGCTGCAGGGAGAAACTTTGTAGCAGGGCAGGGGAAAAAGGGGGAGGAGCATCGGGGCTAGTCCCTGTAGCTCAGTTGGTAGAGCATGGCACTTGCAACGCCAGGGTTGTGGGTTAGTTTCCCACGGGGGGCCAGTATGAAAAATGTATGCACTCACTAACTGTAAGTCGCTCTGGATAAGAGCGTCTGCTAAATGACAAAAAAAAATGTTTGAAGGGGTGGGAGATGAGAAATGTTGGACGGGCAAGGATGCATGGCGAAGTCAAATAGGAAACCTGACTTAATGAAGTGGTGATTAAAGAGCTCAGCCATGTGCTCTTTGTCAGTAACAACCACATCATCAACATCAAGGGACATGGGCAGCTGTGAGGAGGAGGGTTTATTCTCCAAATCCCTTTTAAATGTTTTCCAGAACTTCTTGGGGGTTTGACCCACAGAGAGAGACCGGCTCCTTAAAGTAACTAGCTTTAGCCTTCCAGATTGCTTGAGTGCATTATTTCTCATTTGCCTGAACGAGAGCCGTCAGCCTGAGTAAGCGTGTGCCGATCCTTTCGCCAAATGGAATTCTTGAGGTGGAGTAACTCTGCCAAATATGGTCGAACCAGGGGCTGAACCTGTTTTTAATTAGCATTTACTTTATAGGGTGTGTTTGTTAACAATACCACTGAAAATATAAAAAAGGTCCAAGGGCTCCAGGGCCCAGTCCGACACCACTGAGACCAGGGCCAATTTTTTATTTTTTTTTATTTATTTTATTTCACCTTTATTTAACCAGGTAAGCCAGTTGAGAACAGGTTCTCATTTACAACTGCGACCTGGCCAAGACAAAGCAAAGTAGTGCAACAAAAACAACACAGAGTTACATATGGGGTAAAAAAAAACAAAGTCAGAATACAACAGAAAAATATATATACAGTGTGTGCAAATGTAGCAGTTTAGGAGGTAAGGCAATAAATAGGCTATAGTGCAGAATAATTACAATAGTATTAACACTGGAATGCTAGATGTGTAAGAGATTATGTGCAAATAGAGATACTGGGGTGCAAAAGAGCAAATTAAATAACAATATAGGGATGAGGTAGTTGGGTGGCTAAATTCAGATGGGCTGTGTACAGGTGCAGTGATCGGTAAGGTGCTCTGACAACTGATGCTTAAAGTTATTGAGGGAGATAAGAGTCTCCACTTCAGAGATTTTTGCAACACAACCACCAGGGCCCAGTCTGACCCAACCACTGTTCAATCATCCACTACTAAACCCAGGAGAGAGGGGAGGAGTGCAGAGTCAACCCATGCAGGAGGGGATGCCAACCAGAAAAGCAACAGCCAAAGCCCCAAACTCCCTTGCAGCCTCCCATGCTAGGTAACAATAGAATAGAATAGTATAATATTGTGTTAACCAACCAACACATGGGAACTCTTGGGGAAGGAAAGTGGGGTTAGTAATGGGTCAAACACTTGGTCTTAGGCGTTGTAGAGTGTTACTGAACCGGGTCCTCCTCTCTTTGTCCTCGGTAAGTGAAGCCAAGCTGAAGAAGGTTGGGGAGGTGAGGATCAGCACTCCTGAGATAGGAAACAGGATGTGGCTAACATGCGCCAGAGAACAGAGAGGTAACAAGTTCTTTCTATTATATTCTGCTGGAACAGACCCAACCACACATCACATTAACATGATCTGATATCCTACTCTGGTACCTAAGATTTTTTTCAGCGGCACACGTTCTCTCATGACCTCCCTCTTGGTTGTCTCTCTGCAGGTTGTACAGCCGACTAGATGAGGTGAAGCTTCAGAAGGAGGTCAGAGCAGACAGGAGGCATATGCCAAAAACAGGGAGAAGGCCAAAGATTTCACAAGGTAACATTTAAAATACCCCAATGTTTAAAGGAATAAAACATGATATTGTATCTGGCATTACTGTATATTGAATAATAAAAAGTTGAAGTGGGTTGATGTACATCAACATTAGTCTGTTTGAATTGATACGAATTCTGTTTTTCTCTTCACAGAAAACCTTAGAGAAGCTACGGGCCAAGCAGTCTCCACAATGATACTGAAGATCATTTTTAAATCTGTTATACGTGGTCTGTGTTTGCAAGTATTTTGTACTTACATGTATTTTTTGTACAGTTTAATCAGTAATTTCAAAGATCATATTTCTAATAAAGTTGTGTATATATAAATCAGTGTTCAGTCTATTCATCACTACATATTACTGTGTTCACAGAACAAAAGCAACCAGTGTACTATTACACCTTGTGTACTGTAGGTAGACCCATTGCATTAATAATGATTACATATCTTGCATTATTCATCTCATATTTATATACTGTATTCTATACTATTGTACTGTATCTTAGTCCATGCCGCTCTGACATCGCTCCTCCATATATGAAATTCTTAATTCATTCCTTACTTAGATTTGTGTGTATTGGGTATATGTTGTGGAATTGTTAGATATTACTTGTTAGATATTTGTTATTTTTTTTTTACCTTTTTTTAACTAGGCAAGTCGGTTAAGAACAAATTCTTATTTACAATGACGGCCTACACCGGCCAAACCTGGACGAAGCTGGGCCAATTGTGCGCCGCCCTATGGGACTCCCAATCACGGCCGGTTTATGATACAGCCTGGAATCGAACCAGGGGGTCTGTAGTGACGCCTCAAAAACTGATATGCAGTGCCTTTGACCACCGCTGCGCACTGTCGGAGCTAGAAGCACAAGCATTTCGCTACAATCCGCAATAACATCTGCTAAACACTGTATGTGACCAATACAATTTGATTTGAATGTTATGGTGCCTGTACAAATATTTTTGGTTGAAGTTTTTTTTAAACCAATAGAAATTGTTAGCTGCTGCTTTTGCAAATCCTTATAAGTTCAATTAACAGGTGATAAACTGGGGCGTATTATTACGTTGATTCTGTTTGCAAAACTTTTATCAAATGGAAGGAACGCGAAGGGACCGACCTGAACTCCTTTCGATGTTTGCTTCCGTATGGTTCTTAAACGGTTTCCGTAATGAATACGCCCCAGCGCGATGCAGTTGCAACTTGCGCCAGACCGACAGCTGTAGGCTTTATGATTTTTGTGAGGCGGTGTTCTAGGGCGGTCGATTTGAGAGGAAGCTGTGAAGACGCGTCGCTATAGAAACAAGGCAGAAGTAGTTGCGGGGCGGTAAGTATATTTTCTGCGACCAGGACAGTTCTAATTTGTGGAGCTCCGCCCCATAGGGGAGCTCTGCTCCTATTGGTTTACCCTCTGCCCTAAGGCAGCATCAGCCTGAGACAAAATTATGCACATACCCGCAGCCAATAGGAGTACAGGTGTCCCTATAAGATGGGATGCCTCCCTAAATCTGCCTCCCTTTATCTTCAGCGACTGGACTAGACTGAAGAGCCAAGAAGAGACGAAGAAGCACGAAGACTCAGGACGAAAACGCAGTTGATCTCCAGTCTAAACCGTCGTCTAAATGAGCACACGGGAGATTTCCCACCCCCAAAAGCTTTTTTCAGAGCTCAGTGCAGATGCACTTCCATGGCGGCCGGGTTTGACCACCACGACCTATGTTTCGTGTGTTTGGGGTCCCAGCATCCCAAAAAGAAGGCGTCTGCACCCCCCGATTGCGCCTCCTGCGCCCTCCTTTCTTTGAGGGAGGAAACAGCTTTGGGGCGTTTTTTCCCAGGGAGGCATCCCCCTTGAGGACGTGCTGTCAATACTCCCTCTGCTTCAGAGGCGTCGTCTACGGGGCAGACTGGGGGGAAAAGATAGGGACTTTGAGGAGGGATCTGTCATTCCGATGGAACAG